TACAAGACGCCAAATAAGAAGTCGTAAAGCAAGCTCTCTTCGTCTATTACGCTATGTCAAATGATATTTTTGTATCCTTACTTAGGGCGGTTTGCATGGGGCGAGCTCAGCAAATACGGCCTGAATTTAATCTCTGCCCTTCTTTATCTTCAAACCGTTGAGAAGAAAACTTTATTTTGTCCGCAAACAACGGTAATCGGCTTCTTTTTCCACACAGACGACTTCGACTAATATTGAAAGGTCAAACGGTGCTGTTCGGAATTAGTTAAGAGTTATGCAGTTGTCCCTTGTGGCTGTCGAGACGCGGGAAGACTAACAATTAAACAAACTACTAAAGTTAGTATTAATTTATCTGTCTTGTTTTTGTCTGCTTACCACTGGTGCAGAGGGTGTATAATATAATTACAGAAGTGTGATCGTAATTTGGAATGTAGTTGTAAGTTTATAGTATACCATGTCGGTCTTTTCCTGGAGCTTTGTTAATTTCGATAACGAGTTATCTAACTAGTCGTTATGGCAACTAATTTTACCCAATAATGATTTCCACTTATAAGTATTAACAAACAAATTAATAAAGTAAATTCTTCCATTTTCAATGGCGTTATATTTCCTAAATGTTATTTACTAACTTAGTACAAACAAATTCTTTTAAAGTATGTTTGATAGGATTCACCTCAGAGATATCGTATTTCAAGGATCGGAGGAAAATATTGAATTTCCCAAAACATATAACTGCTAGCTTTAGATTTTCGTATGTATGATATAATGTTACACTTAACTATGAGTGTTCTCATCTCATACAAACATCATACAAACGTTAATACTAAAAGCGCACACATCTTTGACTAAACTATTCCACAACTTTTAGTCTCGCTTTGATTCCTATGAGTACAGAGTATATATACACTACTGCATTTTTAGCTGTGCAACTAAACAGTTGAATGGGCTGCAAAACAATCGAAAATCGTACAACAGTTCTGTGATAGTTTAATCAAATGTGTGCGTTCTTATAATACTTTTATGTTTAAATTAAGAGTTAACTTGACTACGCGAAAAATTTAATTTAATTTATCACATAAACAAACAGGGAGTACGGTTTTTAAGGAAACAATTTTGTAAAAATAATTTCCAATACAGATAAGTACATTAAAGATTACATCGGATAAAATTGTCTATCGTATTTAATGAACAATGTGACTTACAAATTTTTGACGCGCTTTTTCCGAGGCGTTCATTTTTTTCACTTTCCCGAGGGATTTGTGCTTTAACAACGTGTTCATTTTGTTTGTAACAGCTCCACTGAAAATGTTTCAGTCCGTAAATTGAAGAGGATGCTATAAATTCTTTGTTAAATATATCGGCGTTATATTTAAATGTTTTCTATCTATATCAACAAGTAATACAAATTGTTACGGAAAGTTTCACAGCTTGTAAGCTTCCTGGAATCTCACAAACGTTAGTAACAATATAGTTAGTTTTATTTTGCTCCGATATAAAATAATTCAAACTTAATCTGTTAAAAATTCATTTGTTTTTTTTTTTCAAACAACTTTAATAAGATTCAAAGCTATTTTGTTACTGGCCGTCTGGGATATGAAATGTGTCATAAAAAAGAAAATCTTTCAGATATTTAAGAGTTTAAAAACGATGTAACACAAAAAGTATTGTATTAGTTGACATTGAAGTGTCGATCGAAAACAAAGAATACGAGACAACGAGATAAAAAGATTGTATTCATTCAACAGAGAATCACAAAAGTGAAAAAAGGCGCAAAAAACCTTCAGTTGTATTAAATCCAACGTTCGACGAAGTGTGACGAAGTTGTTTACCTTTATGAGATTGGATTTCTATTTTGTGATTTATATACGAAGGTGGTTAATACAAGCGTATTTTCTTCGAAGTCCTTAAAATAATTCGAATACTTCTTGATTTATTTTGAACTAGCTGTCGCCCGTAACTTCGTCCGCGTGGGATTACAAAAAACAAAAGTAACCTATGTGTTCTTCCAGACTATCGTCTACGTATAACCCAAATTTAATCGAAATCCATCTATCCATCTATCTAAACTTTCATAATAATAATATTAGTAAGACATTATTTACAATTGGGTAGCAATTGTATTTACTCGTGTAGGTGTCGTCTTCTAAACATTATGAGTTAATAAAAATGCACGATATATGTCATAAATTATGTTTTAAAGATAGAATTATATTTACTTAAAAAAACGGATGTAATTGCAATAAAAGTTTGGCATCTATCGTGTAACTTTTTCCCGTCAATCGTGCTGGGAGTGCGCGTCATTTGCTTTGGTGTCACAAATCGTTCCCCACCCGGGCAGCGGCACCCGGGGCCCCTAAGCTAAACAAAAACAGAGTGTTTCTAAACAGTCGGGTATTTTAAACCAGGACAAGACCCTAGTTATTATTGTCTCTTAAAATAAACAGCAAAGAAAAATGTTAAAAAATAATGTTGGACAAATATTCTAGACGAGTATTTTGTAATTTCGATGTCTGCGGCAAAATTAGTTTTCGCGACAGAAGTCAAGTGGCTGTATCTTTTATGCGAAGAGCCAATATCAATTTGAAACAATGTAACCAAAACGCCAAGTCGAGGCATGAAATTACCAGCACGGTACAGACGCAATTAAACTGTTAAAATCAGGTTTCGTCGTAAAAGTTCTTGCTCTTGTGAATATCCATTAAATTTTAGATTTCAAGCTTTATACCTAAAATGTAAAGAGTTACATCTGATCTTGAAAATTAAATACATATGTTACGCGTAATGTAATTAGGGTCGGTTACGAAATCCAGTCGAGCTCCACGTAAATGAGACGATTAAGTCCCTGAAATCGTACTGTAGGGCATTGAGTTTACGTTTTGTTGGATTTAATACAATTAATAAATTTTTGTCACTTTTTAAGGTCAGAGCAATATTTCGCTGTAATATTTATGCTGTCTTTGTTATCTTGCTATTAAAATGTTATTTATAACAAGAATTTCATAAAGACTTTTGGTATTAGTTATATCTTTACGATAAAAAGCTAGCGTTTTAATTTCATTTTTAAATTATAATTGTCAATTAAAACAAATCAATCTATTCACGAAATAAATATAACATCCTGTATATTTTGCGGATGGTGGGAGCATAATACGCCTAGTAACGTCCGGCTAGCGGGTAGCGGGTAGCGAGCCATTTATTGCAGACATGTTACCATCTATAGTTTTAATTGGCAGCCGTAGATCTACCGGCCGGCGGGCATCAGACATGTTGATGTGTGGAACAAGCAACAGACAACGACAAACTATTTATTACATTGCGGAATTAGAAACGGAGAAATGATTACTTTAAGAATTATTGCTGCATACACATTTATAAAAGTCATACAATTCTCCTTTTATATTTCAATCCTTTTAACATTGTTTAATACTGTGTTATAGTTTATAATCATTAAAATTGCAGACGAGTTTAAAACTTAAACCACATTTAGTCCGAATTGTAAACCAGGCTTTAAACATGCAAAATGAAAAACAGATATTAATTTATTCCAACAAAAACTGAATATTCAACAGTACAATAGTTGGTGAAACTAGCGTTCAATTCTTGAGATAAAGTCCGCATGAATTAACGCAGGTCGGAGAACGCTCTTGCGGCCAGGTTTCGTATTTGATGGATATTGTATTGTGGCTTTGATCACAATAGCATGTCTGGAATACAACAATTGTTGTTTTGGTATACAGTTAACCCATTCCAATTCTAGATGAATATCGCAAGATATTGTGCCGTATAATTGGGCCTTCCAGCTATTCTGCAACGACTCGCAAAATCGTAGTGAAAATTGCATTTTAATATTTCACGGTTTTATTATCAATGACCTATTAGAAAATATAGTGAAAATAGAATATTTAGCTTTAAAAAGGTTATTAAAAAAATGTGTAACATGTAACCGTGTAACATCTCTTAGTACGCACCCTTACGAACTTAGTATTTCATCTAACCGAACCGATGGATTAGTTCACATACAAGATGTTTTTTCCATATTATAATTCGTAAGTTATATAATTTAAGTTAGCCCATAATTTTAAAAGAAAATGCTTTTCATTTGCCAACTGTTTGAAAAGAAAAATGTGTCCCCTTGTTTAGTATGCCGACGGTGAGCTCTTAATTGCATCTGTTTTAACTCCGTGACTCACATTGCAATCCTTTGTAATTGTTAGTGTTTATTTGATTTTTTACGACCCTCGTCGTGAATACAATGTTCCTCATTTCAATGATACGAAATTTGAATAAGAATTAATTTATGTGGAAATTTCGCGTTTGTTTAAAACGAGGAAAGAAAATCCCAGTAATATCCGAGGATTTGTTCTGAAAAAAGTATTTTTTATTAATATCCTGACTTCTCCAGAAGCCGGACAACGGGGAAAAATCTATTCAGTTATTCAAACTTTTAATTAATATTAATAGGAGCTCTCACTTTCAAAAGAAAGAAAACCGAAAGTAGATAAAAACTCCTTAGAAAGCCGCGTAACTTGCAGCTGTGGACTCTAAATTAATGCGAATACAATAATGGCCCGTAGCTATAGAAACAGACAGTGAGGTCGCGAACAAAAATTAATTCCAAATTGCTATTAGTGGCCGTGAACAAAAGTCGAGTGGTGTGGGTGCGAGTCTGCAATAAACGTCACGCCGAGAGAGATAGGAAATTAAACGAAACTAAAACGAAGTCGTGCCACATCTGAGGGAGAAACTTTAGGGAGGACGTTCGGCGAGATTCGAGTTGAATTAAAAAAAAAATTAAGCAAGGACAGCCGATTCAGTTCACCTCTTCTGTGAGCGACAGCTCGAAAAGTAGCTCTTTTGTGCCTCAATGGTTCTTTTTTTAATTATTTTTCAATGTAGTTCCATAACCAGCGTAGTTGAGAGATAAAAAATGACAGTGTCGACGGAAAATTATTTTTCCAGCCGCTTTTAAAATTAAATGGTTGTTTTTACTTTACCTTTAGGCAGCGGTTCGATGACTATTTTCAGAGCCTCGATGGCTGACAGCCCGCAAAGAATCCAAAAAAGGGACATTGCGCTTTGCGAGGGCCTCGTTAATTCATCCATTGCTAGTCTTCTCGCAGTCTACGTAGTCAACATCCTGAAAGAGAAAAACTTAAATCAATTTGCGCACGAAGGGTTTTTTTTTCATTAACATTGTAATTATTTGTTGAGAGTATTTCAAAAGAATAAATGTAAACTTTAAATTTAAATAATTTTAATATAGAAAACCTCTGTAAATATAAAATATTAATATTTTATTGACGAGACCTAATCAAATATTTAAAGGCTACCCTTCAATCTCCAAATTGGACTCATCTGATATCTCAGATCTTTGAATTTATGAATATTAAGTAAGAAAGTTACACGCAAATCCTCTCGCTCTGCTTACAAATTATGAGTTTCCGAAGATTACTGGAATAAAAAATATTTCTAAGCTTTTATTTATTCGTTTCAATAAAATAACGAAAGTAATATTAAGTCGATCAATTTAAATATGTATTTTGTGACTGCAATTTTGTGAGTGTATCTCAAATGCTCCAATGCTTTTAATTATCTATCAGTCTTTTAATGATCACTAAGGGATACACTTAGGTGACCACTTAATGACTCTACTCGACAGGAACTTTAATTCTTCCGATGATATAAATCGTAAAAATCAAACGTTCTTCTTTAAAACTTTGTATTATGTTTAGTGGTGGGGTTGCATTAATTACGACGCATCATTAGCAAGTGCGGCAGCGAGGTCTACGTTTACCCGCGACTCCCCCCCGCACACCCTAAAACCTATCCTGCGTACGTAATCATAAGCTACGATTTTCATAGTGCTACGAAATATAATACTTTGTTTGATTTCTGTGTTAAAAATATTAAAAATTAATTGTTTATTCCTTATTCTAGCTTGAGGTGAATTTTAAAAAAGATTAAAATTAGCATAAGATTAATGATAAGATAACGTAATAGAAGTAATTTGCAGAATTTAGAAAATCAAATGAAAACCCACTAACTTCTAGGGTAATGTATCTATCTTGCGTTAAACGAGTTTTAAAGTCTCTAAATTTACTTTTTTTATCGCTTTTGTTTATTCCGATCTTAACTTGCGACAATCTCCTGCAGACGATAATTGTTAGAAATCACTCGACGACCCCATTGAAGAGGGTTGCTACTTAAAACAAGGAAAAAGCAGAGTTCATTGGAACCCCGTTTGTCCGACTTGATTTGGCGTTTCAGTTTTTTTCATTTATTGTCGAACTTCCCTATACCTACGAACTGAGAGTGAAATTGCACTAGTTTAACATTTAATTTTACTAATATTATAAATGTGAAAGTTGATGTGGATGGATGTTTGTTAGATTTTGTAGTCTAAGCTGCTAGACGTTGTCGATAAAATAAGGCAAACTCGTAGATGAAGAGGATAGTACGGAAGAACACGTAGGCTTCTTATGTTTATTATTTATTATACGCGGATGGAGTATAAGCTTATATAAAACAACTTTCAGTAACAGATTCCGTGAAAACGAAGAGCTCCAAATTTTATCTTAGAATAGATCCGTTTATTTCTACAAAGTTGAAAATAACAACAATTATGGATATCAAAATAAGTTCGCAGTAATATTAAGTAAGTTTTATCACTATATTTAAACAATAATACAGTTCTAGCCTATTTATAGATGACATAAATAAGAATTAAGACATAAATAGGCGTAATTCCAAAGTTGGATTTACATAAGTAATTGGATGGAATATTGCTTAGCGTAGTTTGAAGTTTTCTCTTATCTTTGAAGCTTTTCATCTGGCGACGAGCCGACCGACGGCCACGCCTGTTGCCGTAATTAGAACGCCTCCTTGTACATTCGCACCTTTGGCGACTGAATAACCCTTAATACTTACGATCGATAGAGGTCTGATAAAACAAATGAATACATCATTTGCATATTTTTATAGACGGAATAAACTGACTGCGGCACTGAGTAACAAAGTATGGTGTATCGTTTCATATTAACTATAAAATTCCAAGTAACTGTGAAAGTTTGAATTTAATGGACATTATCGTAGTAATGTTTTAATTGAAACTGAATGTAAAATTATAATTTGATTTTACTCATAGTTTTATTCCGTATTCAATATTTTGCTGAACGGATCTCGATAAAATTTAGCACAGATGTAGAGCAAAGTCCTACTACTTAGTTTTGTTTATAATTCCACGCGGATAAAGTCGCGGGCGACAGCTAGTATTATATACAGTGTTCTCTTTGCGAGATGTTGCAATGTCGTGCTTACACCGTAACTCACTTTGGCTGCTTCTCGCCTTTAAATACCTTGTAATAATGAGACGAGTGCCGCCTCTTTGAAGATTTTTTTATTTAAATGAAATATATTAAAACTTTAATAAAGTTCTCAACTTCAAAACGCAGTAATTGAATATTTTTCATCTCATTTTACATATTTTAAATTTAATTGAAGGTTTTGAGATGCCTTGTACAGCTCGTATAGTAAAGGTCAATTGAGTTCTGTTAAATTAATTGAAATAGATTAATATTTGTAATAGACAAAACAAAAAAAAAAACATTTGTCATTTTTTTATGTCGTTGCTTCTTAAAGTTAAGCAAGTCTATGAAAACTAAATAGATTATTTTTATTATTCTTAATAGGTTATTTATTTTAACATTTCACATTGTTTCGCATAGCAGCGAATACAAGCCGACTTTGGTAAAACAGGCACAAAGAAAAATACCACGGTTATAAAAATGTGACATCTAATATATAGAAAATTATCTTCTAAATTCAAATTTCTACAGAAATAGAGTAAAATTATTTATAAAAATTATTGAGACTGAAAATCAAACATTAAAGATTTAGTCTAAGCTGTTTAACATACTTGTATTTTTCGAGGCGTTACTAGAATACTTAGACATTTATTCCAAAGTTATAGGTGACGAAATGTCACCTTCAACTGATAGAGGTTACCTCCAAGAATCTTTGAGCCGACTTTGCAAGACTAATTACTTTGTACAGCTGTTTTGTCTTGAGATAATTTAGAGGCGTTTTATAGTTCATCGACTCGGCAGCGTTAATTAACTAAAGCGAATAACAGATTTCTTGTGTTTACACGATTGTTAAACCTTTAATTAAACTGGTATGACGGTTCAGTCTCGTTTACTTTAATAAAATTTGAATATACAAGATCAAAAGAATTAGTAAAAGGCCTTTAATATTCCAATCAATCTAATGTTTTAAGAACAATATTGATTTTAGATTTAAAACCTACAGACGTTTTTCAATACTACTGATAATTCAAAAAATACTAAGGACCTGTCCCACGAAATTGTAAATTGACTGTTAACAATCCAACGTATAAAATGTGCAATGGAAAAATCGGATTTTGTGCCCTTATCTGACAGAGGCGTCATTTTCAAGCTATCTGAGCCTTTATCAGCTAATGGTAAGACAGGCTTTTAGAGTTAGAAATAATTATCACAATATATACGGAAAAATATACAGAAGATTGCATTGGCTATTTTACTAGACAACACATTGTTCTAAAGTCGTAAAATAGAATCCCAAACTCTACATCTCTGAGCAAAAACTAACCGCATCCTCGTCGGTCGTACCAAATTAGTGAAATTGCTGTTAGTGGGGTGTGAAAAAATGCAATTATACCCTCGACGGGTCATTAACAATAGTTAAAGTGAGCGCTGCAGGTGAGCGAAGCTGCTACTGTAGTTACGACGTGCAAATTATAGTTTCCAAAAGCCCTGTTCCGAGTTTCCCTTGTGCAAATTACATTATACTGCTTGCTTTTTAATTTGACGTTAATTTTACTATCATATCTCATTTGCTCTTTGTCTATGTGGTTTCAATACTTGGGATAATAGATGTAGCAATTTCTTAGAGAAATTTTACTGTAATGAAAAATGTTTTAAAAATAGTTTGGTGGCAAATTTTAAAGAAGTGTTTTTGTTTAATTAATTTTTAAATTTTTATAAAGTAAAGGATAATAAAGAAACAATACTCACAGATCCGATGGTCTATTGTCAACTTATTGACGTCATAACAGAGGAGATTTTAAAAGATAGCCTGCGGAGAAGAGTCTTCTTTGACATAATCGAACAACATCTTACAGAGAGATAGTCTGTTTAAGACAATGGAATATTTTCTAGCCTATTATCAAAATTATAGGCGGCAGGAAATAAGAAAGGACAATGGCTTCCACTCCGCAATGTCTTATTTTAATGGCGCCGTTCTGGGAGCCTATATTGCATTTTATGAACAGAATATTGTCTAAGGCGTTGTATTGTCGAGACTTAACTAAGGAGACAATTATGTTGGTTGTTAAATTTCGGGGCTAGCGTTTCGTTATATTAGGCCGCTGGGATTGTTTGCTGTTTGATTATTTGTCTGTACCTTTCGGTTAATAGGACCCATTCGTTTAGAATACACGTTGGAAATGATAATGGGAATTCAAGCTAACAAACCATGCAAATAAATTATTATAAGAACCCAAGAAACTAATCCTAAAATTAATTAAATTTATTTGTTTAATATAAATATCTGACGTAATACAGAAAGTGACGAAGAGCAAATTAAAAATTGTTATAAAATTCCTTTTAAGAGCGGAGAAAGGTGTGCAATGAAATCGAAATGCTAAGAGCAACATTATGCGCTGCAAACAAAACAAAGGTGCCAATATACTGGGAACCCTGACGGTGGCAAATGCTATGGACGTAACCCTTTGTACAAAGAAACCCGGCTCTGATACCGACATCAAAGTGATTTCACGTACACATAGGAAGCGTAACAAGGTTATATTAAGAGATCAAAATTAGAATTCCTTTTACATATTAAATGCCTAATATTTGAATTGCGTCGTATTGATTTAATTAAAAATGTAATTCATCTCAGTCTTACTTGACCTGAGTATGTTTTAAGTATTCTATGAAGCTAATCAAGTCTCTAATGGCCAGTTTCCCAGCTACATTTAACCATTCGTTAGTGTTTTTGGTTGTATAAATTCTTGAAATGCGTTTCCGAACCACCTAATTTGTGTTTAACTCCTATGAAATTTCTTTTTAACCTCACATTATTGAATATAGGTAATAG